ATATATATATATATATATATATATATAATTTCAAAATGAAAAAAAGTACTTCAGAATTACAGGTTATCCTAATAATATCAACTTCTAATCAGGGCAAGCTACCTACTTACAGAAAAACTAAAAATTAACTTGGTAATGAGGATAGCTAATTAAATATATTTTTCTTATGATCTTACTTATGATTAGAAAGTGTTATTTCATCCGTTGGGCATTTTGTGCATACACTTGGTTAAATGAAAATGATATAAAGAATTTAAAACATGAGAAATATCTCTGAATGAAATATACTGTGTATGAATAATTACATTTTAAAACTTTCTAAACTGTTGTTTACTTGTATGTTGTTTTCCAAGTTGTATTATATTAACTTGAAAAAAATACTATCAATAAACCTAATTAGTTACCATATAAATATGAAATTCTTAGTTTCATGAGCTGGTATATAGATGGATATAGCAACTTTCACAATTTTCAGCCAGTCTAGATCTTTTTGTTGTGTGTTTAAAATGATATTTTTGTATGAATAAATGTAATTTTTATCAGGTGTTTAGAGTCGAGTACTGCTGTTATACAAAATTTCTTGCTTATTCCTTATCTATGAGACATGCAATGTTTCATTAACAATGCATAGATTATAATTTGCATAATAGTTTATGTATCACAATATTAGAATATATATGAAGAAAACATAATTGTTTTGTCAGGATATTCATCAGAGCATTAAAAAAAAACTCTGAATTTAGAAAATTGTTAAAACATATTTTCGGCATTAGAACATCTGGCAGGTAATCTCAGTACAAAAACTGGAATTTTATTCAACAGAAGTATATTTCTCTCACACACAAACAATGTAAATTAATATTCAAAAATATTTTAAGTGTACTTATATGTATTTCTCTTTATTTGTGGGTGTAGTATTTTTTACTGTTTATTAATTTCCTAAAACATTAAAAGCATATACAACAAAAACAATAAAAGTATACTCTCCACTAATACTAAAAACACTGGACTTATTGAATTACGAAAATACTTCTTTGTCAGTTTTTTTCATTCAAAATCAAACAGAACATTATTAAAAAGAAAAATGACAGACATGTGCAAAAAAAAAGAGGAGAAGACATTTTCTTAATTCTTAAATATATAACAATTTTATGCATTAGGGCCAAACATACAAAGAAAATAAACCAACTTATAGAAGTTACTACTATACTACTGGAATTATTATGATTATGTTATTTTATGAGAAACAAAAATACTAAATTCTGTTTCAGTTATTCTGAGAAGATCTAGGTTAGTATTTTGGTTGGTTCAATTGTTTCAAAGTCTGTAACATCTCAACAACAATAACTGAATATCAAGCTTACATTATGAAAACCAGATTTTTCAAATGTTTATTGATTTTCTCATATTACATTCAAGTAGAAAATTCTGACAACCAATCTCATTCATTTTGTATCATAATGATTTGATGAAATATATTACATATAATTTAGTCATTGATACAAAAATATTTTCAAAACAAACCCCAAAACCATGGGAACCATATTTTAGTATTGACCCATGCAATGTACCAAACTCAAAACACTATGTATGAATATATGTCTATCAAATTATCATTGACCAACTAAAGAATAAATTTCAAAAACTCAGTAATTCATAATCAAAGAATAATTCCATTGTAAAAGCAAACTAAGTTAATTTAGGAGGATTACAACACAAACATATGCATAAATAAACAACATTCTCAGGCATTATTTACTTTGGTTACAATCAATAATCTATAAATACATTTCAATCAAGTTCATCAATGGATAGCACCATTAATTAAATGACAATAAAATTTAGGATGATATAAATCCAAACAATAAGATGACAAATAGGGTGATGATGGTAGGTTTTGGTTTCTACCAACACCCAAGTACTTCAAAGTAAAAAAAAATCGTTGTAATATCATCAAGTACATATACATTTTCACCAACTTTTTATTTTACTTAATTACTATAGGAACAATCTGTTTTAAATGTATACTTATAACAATACTTGTCATATATTTGTAAACATAAATTAGTAAAGAGATATACTAGCATGTATTTCTCTACCTTATGGTTTTTTTTTTCAATTTTAATTCATCTAATATATTACATGCAATGTTTTGCTGGTAAAAGTGAGAGAGTTTAAAAATGCAGTTGAAAGAAACCAAGCAACATATTTCTTCTACAAATAAATTAAGAGGAGTAACATTACTAAGATCAATAGAACTCAAAATTAGCAGTGATTAGTGATCAAAAAGCCAGTAGACTCTAACATTTAACAAGTCAGATGATAATACAAGCATGATTATGAATAATCATACCGGCATTAAACAATGATCAAAATTTTAAAACACAAGCCAGTAGCAACAGTTGCAGAAAAAAACACTACAATAACCAAGCAATAAACCTTTTCTGGTAGCTCTTGTACAGATCATTCTTATGCATCTATCAATGCAATTATCTGAATTTAAAATAACAAATAAAAAACAATGCATTCAAGCATTATTTCCCTTTTCTTTTCTTTTTTTTCAAATTAGAAAATGTACCTATTATATTAAATATAGATCTAAAATTTTATAGTATATCACAAAATGTGATGCTTCCTGGAAATTCACACCAGAAGACTAGTTATATTCTCTTTAAGTGCATGCAACTTGTGAATTACTTGTTTCACCAGTGCAGCTGATCAAACTGTTGCGTCAGCGAGTCACATGACCACCGTGACGCAACGTTTCTAGAACTATCATGTACTTTGGCGAATGTTCAAGTTCTCACTAGATATAGGGTAGGCGGATATATATAAGAGGGGACAACGTGACGCGGTAAGAGAT